CTCCATTTGCCACCTCTCAGCCCAGCTCTGCAGCTTATCTATGTCCCTCTGTAATCTGCAGCTTATCTATGTCCCTCTGTAATCTGCAGCTTATCTATGTCCCTCTGTAATAAATTGCTGCACATTTTCCTATTTAACCAAAAATAACTTTAAATCAAAGGATTATATAAAAATAAAGGTTTGACTTTCAGGTGGTCCTAGCCCAGTCAGATTCCCCCTTCAACTCTTAGAGGGTACACTTGACCTTTATTCTGCTTGTCATAAGCTTGATATCGAATTGACCAATATCTTTTATACAAAAATGAATAACTTAAATTTCAGTGATAATTAGAAAACGACTGAGGCTAAATGATTAAGTATTATTAAAATTCATTTTTTGAACATAGGCTTGAAAAGATGACAAATAAACATCTAATTTATTGTTCCATAATCATAATGAATGTGGATCCTGAACTTCTTTGGAAGACAATTTGGAACATAGAGGGTATGTCACAAGTGGCTTGACAATGTGCACTACTTCAGTTAACCTTGCTTTAAAGAGAATTTGCCAATCTCCCAAGTAATTTCACGAAGTTGCTGAATTTGTAATACAAATGCAAATTAAACTCGCTGGTTAGGACTCCTATTTCAATGACTTAAGGACTTTATTGATGATGAGATTAATGTTCCCGCAACCTCTCTCACTCCAATTTTTCATTCCCCCCTACTTATCTTTCTGCATTTAATGTAGCCAGAATTCATGTTACATCCTTCTATGAATTATTTTATTTCTTGGTCTCTTTAAAAATGAAATTTAAGAGCAGAGTAACAATGCAGTCATTCACCAAATTTGAAGATGCTTATTGACCTCACTATAAGTTTGCACTGTCAGCAATTTGGAGCCCAAAAAAAAGGTGAAGCTGGAAGTTATGCGAAAAAAAACCCATGGCACAAGCTAAGAGATATCCCTGTTCAGTAAATTGTGTACCAATATTAGTTTAAAACATACAACACTTTCAGCAGATTTGCCTGTTGGTCAAGTGAGTAACAGTAATCTTTGGTGTGGTAATGAAGCAAGCACAAGGGCAATGACAATCAGCTGTTAGCTGCCAAACGAGCTATCGCTTTTTAAAAAAAAAATAGTCGATGAGATGTGAGCATTTGTCATCCACAACCAACTGCTGAAGGTGGGGTTTATTTCCCCCCTTTGTTTCCTTTTAAACCTGGGAAGTGGCGGGTGAAGGAGGCCTCCAACGGCATCGGCAGCGACGCTGGACGATCCGGACACGGCTCCACCATAGCCCGGACTCGCAGGCTAGGCCAAGGCTCCAGGTTCGCAGCTAAGTCCGGGCGTCTAAAGGAGGAGAAAGGTGGGTTCGGCGCGACGGTCTGATCCCGACGTGGATGTTTTCTTCATCTTTGGTGTGCAGGTATTCCAGCTGCTCGGCAGGCGTTCTCGTCCTGGGTGCTTCTTCAGGGTATTCCATCGTTCCTAAATTGGCTTTCGTCGACCGCAGCAGCCGTTAACCGAATTGCGATGAACATTGTCCTAATTTCACTTTTTAGTATTATTATTACGACTTCTGTCATTGATGTAGTCGTCGTAGTCGGGCGACTTAAAACTTTTCACTCTATTTTTTGATGTGAAAGTACATGCGACAAAAATTTACATTCTAATCTAATGGGCCACTCTCTTGGATCACAGCAGTCTACATCATGAAGGGACACTCACAACATTTTAGGGAATGCCAAAATGTTGACCGAGTGACATGGATAGCGCGACAGGATGAAACGTGGCTTGAAGGGAAACTTTCAGGTGATGACATGTCTATGCACCTATTTCTTATCACTGATAGACACTACAGATGGAAAGATGCTGCTAAGAATCATTGACAAGTTGCTGTAAAACATCTTACAGATAGTACAAACCGCTGCCATTCTGCAAAGATGGTGGTAATGATCAAATGTGCTGCTTTGCCCTGGATAGGGGTAGGCTTGAGTATTACTGAAGCTGCAGTATCAGAAGTTAGCGAAAACATTCAGTCAGAATTCCTTTAGATTACTATCAAGTGTGTATCCAGATACTAGACAGGAAATTCTGATGCCTCCACTCCCCTATAGTCAAAGCTTGAGCGTCAATAGCACAAACGCTTGCAATAAACATATACAACACTGCATGTGTGTCTCAAGGGTCTTATTGAAGTAATAATAAAACAGATTACAACAAGAATAAAAAGGGACAAGGCACAAGTCAGGTAACTTGAAGGGAAACTTTCAGATGATGACGTACCCATTTGTTTGGATGAATATGGCTCAAATAATACAAACAGACTCAATGCAATCCAGGACAAAGCAGTTTGCCTGACATGCATCTTGTTCACCACCTTAAATACACATTCCTTCCACTACTGTTAGACTATGGCTGCAACGTGTTTACTAAAATACAAAATGCGTTCCAACAACTTACCAAAGCTTATTTGACAACATCTCTCAAATTGCAACCTGAAAGGCATTAAGCAAGTACCTCCAACTCGTATGCTCCTCCAAACCATTCACTATCGCAATATATTGCTGTTCCATCCTAATTCACTGGGTCAAAATCCTGGAACACTCTCCTTTACAGCACTGTGGGAATACCTTCACCATATGGGCTGTAGTAGTTCAAGAAGGCACCCCACCACTACCACTACCTTTTCAAGGACAATTATGGATAGAAATTAAATACTGGGCCTGTCAGTAACACCCATGCTGATCAATGAATTAAAAACTCACTATAGGAAGTAGAATTCCAACAGTTCAAGCAGTTTAAAAGTTGTGCATAACTTTAACTAAATGGCAATAATTCTTAATCAGTATTTAACAGAGATACATGTTAATACTTAAAACATTTAATTCTGTGCTGCTTGTAGGGGAATTTATATTATTTCTGCTGCAGCTAAGCAGATCACTATGTTGTGTGTCAGCTGGCCTATTCTCAAAACATACACGGTCTTACAACTACAATTACAATTACACTTGCATTATGACACCTACTGTTTAATAAGAGATGTTTAACTTACAGTACTCCAAACCATGACTATAATTTCCATCTCTGAAAACAAAAGTACAAAATAGTCTGTATATTGAATTCAGGTATATGAATATATTATTGCCTCAATAATGTTTGATGTTGTGACCCTGTAGACACCTTCACTGCTGGCAATTTTACCTTTTCGATACATACTTTCAAAGACATAAAATGTTGAGTCTAACATTTTGAAGTCTTCACATGAATATAAACCTAACATGTTTACACAATGGTGTAATTAACAGAGTCTCACTGTTTTCATTTAAATCATTACCCTGTGCAACTGTTGGTAAGTGTTTTTGGTTTGTAAACTTATGAAAGCGTGCAGGAAATCAATGTAACCATCAGCCATGCACCAGAGTAGTCAACAATCATTACATAAACAATAGAAGTGCATATTGTGTTTTATTCTGAGCTATAATATTCAACATATTATGGCAGTCAAGCTATTAATATCAAGACACCTTGCTTTCAACATTAAAGTAACCAGTGATCAGAGTTAATAAAATACTAAGTCTAATCAGAATGTACTACTGGACAAAAATTCACATCTGCCATGTAGCATTCGGGTTCCAAATGGCATGATGGAATTAATTTCTCAAAATCTTAATACTTTTCTCAAAAGGGGTTTATATATACCAGAAATGAATGCAACCTAAAACTACGTATTATTTAATAAACCTCAAAGGGTTTTTTTCCCATTTGCAATCAGCTTCCAACATTGCAATAACTTGAGGTAAACGATACGAGCGCCGCATGGGGTGTGGAGAACCCAAGTGAATTAGATTTACTATAATACCAAATGTCCGCCATTTTTCCTGACAGAGCAAAGGACAAAAGAGTAGCTTCACACACTTTGAAGGTAATAACCAATTTCCTCGTGCACTTCATGGGATGATTAACAAATTTTACCTGTTTTTAAACATAAACTGTTTCAAGGATGACTGAAGTGAGCCAAATCCATCTTTTTTTCAAATGGCCAATCCCGTCACTGGTCATAAATATAATTCGCAGTAAATCATATAAGGACTTGGAAGATAATGTATTCTTTATTTTACTACACATCCTTAACTTTAAAAAAAATACCGCCCTTGTCCATCCCCACGCCCAAAAACGATTTTTTCGGTATTGTACACAAGCATCTATTCAGAACTAAAAATATCGACTTAGAGGCTATGATTATAAAATGAAATCTGTTGTACAATAGAAAGTTTCTAATCCCGAACCAAATAATTTCTAATGATAAACAAGTCCACCCTCCCCCAAGATGTTTTGGTTCCACGTTTGCAGTGGTCCACCTTCCCGACTAGAATTCGAAGTACGTTATGTGCTACATATACTACATATTAAATGTAATTATCTTACGTAATTCCTATCGACAAAAACAGAATTATATTTAAAATTACTGAATTAAAATGTAGACATATTTACTTAAGAATATTTCAGAAAGACTAAAATTTAAGAAATACTTAAGCATTTACGTCGCATTATATTTCTAAACATTACCCGTTGCTAGGTATTCTATCATAATCAGTGAGGTGACAGTACGTGCTAACCAGAGAATATATCATAGGCACGTTTCTTTTCACTTTGAGAACTAAAATGGAGTAAAACGGAAATGTTTATTTATAAAAAGTCCAAGTGAGGCCAAAGTTAAAGAATACCGGAATTGAAATTTTGACACAAAATGCATTTTACAATATTGATATATATTAATACAATCATTTTATGTACGGTCGAAAAGAGGAAAAGTGTTGTTATGGACAGTATCTCCTAAATTAAGAAAAACGGTTCACTAAACCCGCCATATTTCGCGTTGTCAGTCTGTAACCAAACCTACCACCTCAGTCGCAACAGAGGGGAGGAGAGGGGGAGGGAATCATCGCATATTTTCCTTCAATTATACATTTCTTCACAAAATACTTTTGACAGATGCCATGTAACATCGTCTTACCTGAAGAGTCCACCAAGCCGATGAAAAGACTCCGTTAAACTCGTTTTGTCAAACCAAAACAATGCAATATAATCTCCACCACAACGTAAATACAAATACTCCTATATATTGTGATCAGCCAACAACACTGGCACTGTAATTTAAACTCGAATGTCTTCTTTTAGCAACATCAAACAGAGGAGTAACCCGTACAGGAGATTTAATCCCACAGTAAGATTTCTTTAGTTTTTTTTGGTTAGTCTCTGTGGGATCTGTTGCTATCTGTATACCATTTACTCCCCTTCTTTGGAAAATGGCGGCTACGGAACGTCGTCCTACGGGGCTGACGGGGCAGTGGACAAGGGCGGGGAGCTCAGCACGCATGCGTACACAAAAAACCCGTGAAGGACTTCACTAGCTTTGGCAGTTCGTTTTTGGCTGTGGTGTGAGCGGGTTGAAGGAAATGTCAACCACGGTTAACGTAAAGTGGTGCTTCTTTTTGGGTAGAGGTGAAAACCGGCATGTTAGTTGTAACGTAAATCGCGAGTATTTCGAAGTTTTTTTTAGAAAAAAAATCAGATAATATGAGGTGTGATTTTGCAGATAAGATTGTATAAAATGGCGCACGTTTTAGCCTGAAAGGACGGACATTGTCTTGTTGCTTGATGTGTTTCTGTGAGTGACGTCCCTCTTGGCTAACCATTGGTCGTGAAGTCGTTCCCTGCCCGCGCAGATTGGTTGTTAATGACGCTATCTTGCTGCAGGCAGGTGGAGCTTAGCGCACGAAATTCAGTTCGATTTAGGAAGTTGTTAATTTGGACGCCATTATGGGGAGCGGGCTGTACTACATTATGTAAGGAACGTATGCATAATGAATTTGAATCGCGGCTTTGTGGAAGAGATTATCTGTGCTATTGTAATTTTTTCCAGATTACCCTTGCCGCTGAGAGCAGCGTTGATTTGAACTTTTTCTTAAAAAACAACTTTTTTTAAAAAATGCGTCAAAACAAGATGGCGGCAGCGGCTGGGTTATCTTGTTTGTCGCAGGTTGATCGTTCTCGTTTTACAAATCACGTGGTCAGGAGACATTCCTCTGCATCATAAGAGTTAAAAGGCGTGGGGGTGGAGAGAGTAATTCAGATCCCATTAGCAGTTGCATGGCATTTCTAGTGCTGGGGTGAAGTTTATTCACAAATTTTGTTTTGAATCCGATGTATTTCTGAAAGAGCCTAAAGCACAAGATATTGGAAAATAATGTTAGGCTCTTTTAATTTCAGTTTTGTTGTTCGTGGGGTAAGGGAACTTGGTGTGGCCTTCCTGTATTATTCCTCAATTAGTGGCCCCCATTGCACTGAAAACTTGCATGGTTTTAAATTACTACCCAATACTTTGCTAAATTGGGCTCTGTGTGGTCATGAAGTGGTCCAACTTTCTATCTTTGAAATATCAAGATATTTGAATTTTTAAACACCTCGAACTTTAATAAACTTTTAGTTTTTTTGTGCCTTCAGTCCAAGCTATAATGTACTGGACATATAGAACAAGTACATAATGGACTGCATTTCCTTTGCAGTGCATGCTGTTGGTAATAAATGTGCAATCTGTGTTTTCAGAACAGTAAGCTTTCCAAAAAAAGATTGTGTGGTTGGTAAACTCCAGAGAATGTTTGGGCTAAATAGGTGGTTTCCATTTGGTAATTTTTATGAAAGTCACAATTGGGGAAGTCATTATGTATCTAGTCAGTAGAAAGCCACTTTTACTTCGTTTTTCTTGCTTATTGTGTTGTATTACCGACCAATTCTTTCCTTATTTTGTACGTTCAGCATCAGTGTTAATAGAAACTAAATAGAAAAGATTGATTTTATGTTCCATGTTAAAAGCTAGTGTTAAACTCCTCAAAGCTTCTGGATTCTAAGGTAAAATCATAGGAATGGTTAAGTTGAAGTGTCAAAAACAGTGCTTTGTCAGGAGAGTTAAATGTCACTGAAAAGGGAGTTGCTTGCCTTAAGATTCGGTGTTTGGGGCCAAACTGTTTGCAGTTTGTAAGTCTCATGTGGAAGTAGAAATGGTTGGTGAGATTTGCAAATTGGGAAGGTTATCTTAAAGCGTAAGATGAATTGGCAAAACAATGGCAGAAAAATTTTCATGTTAGGAACTACGAAGTCCTGTGCAAGAGGAAATAAGTGGTGTTTCTTGAGGTGTTGATGTTGACATTCATTGATCATTTGCATGACTGGATAGGTGGCAAAGTAAAAATTGAGCAGAATGTGTATAAGGAGATTAAGTGAGTGGGCAAAATGTTGGTACAGGAATTGAGATATTTTGACCTTTGGCAGGGAGAACAGCGAAGTATATAACGTGGAGGAAAAATTGCAATAATGTGAAATACATCTGGGTGTCTCAGATTAGTCTTTGTACAATAAATAATTAGAATGGTACAATAAATAATTAGAATGATAAATGGATTGTTTGGTGTTTATTCCAAGAGATAATTTAGGAGTAGGAATGTTTTGCTCATGGTGTACAGGGCATTAGTGGGACCAAAGCTAGTGTACAGTTCTGGTCATCTTGTGAGGAAGGATATGACTGCATTAGAAGCAGCTCAGAAGGTTCACTTGAATGATTTGATTCATTGTTGTCACATGTACCCAGGTACAATGAAAAGTTTTGTTTTGCATACAGTAAGGCAGATTATAACATACAAGGACATATGGACATAGGGTGATTAAACAGGGCAAGGTGAAAAACAGTTGCACCAGAGAAAGCATTCTATTTGGATGTATCATGGCTTGGTATGGCAACTGCTCTGCCTGGGTCTGTTTTTTTAAAAAAAAAACTACAGAAACACAGCCTATACAATCATGCAAGCCAACCCTCCCATCTGTTAAGTCCATTTGCACTTCTCGTTGCAGTAGAAAGGCAGCCAACATCGTCAAAAGACTGCCCCCATCCCAGTTATAATCTCTTCAGTCAGGCAGAAAATACAAAAGGTTCAAGAACAGCTTCTTCCCTCCTGTTATTAGACTGCTGAATGGGCCTCTCAAATTTTTAAATCTAATGTTGATCTTGCTTTTGTACACCCCCTGTGCAATCGTAACTTCGTGTGTATTTTGTGAGGAAAGTTCAGGCCTGCATCCATTGCAGTTTAGAAGAATGAGACACAAATTTTACTAAAGCATATAAAATGCTGAGGGTATTTGACCAGAGATGTTTTGGTTTGTAACAACTAGGAGTAGGGAGCATAACATGAGGTCTCTTCCCCTTTAAGACAGATAAGAAACTTTTTTGAAGGTCTCTGGAATTCTGATCGCAGAGAGTTAGAGCTCACTGATTAATTGAATATTTTTAATGTTGAGTTAGTCTTGATTGACACAGAAATTGAAGGATAGGGAAGTGGACAGGAAAATTGAGATCACGAGCAGATCACCATGATCTTACCAAAGGGTAAAATCGGCCAAAGACCCATGCTGCTCTAATACATTTTATAAATAACAGTATACCCTGTATAGTTATCTTATAGGTGCACTTATAATGGGTGTTTAACCTGGGAAAGATGAATTGCTTTATCCTGGATTGTGTTGTTGGAACTGTACTCATCCAGGTGAGTGTGGCGTAGAAATGAGAGAATTAATGACATTTCAAAATTGTGCCCTCCAGGTGATGTAAGGACTTAGCAACATAGATGAACCAAGTGTTCTTGATTAACAACTTTCAATGAACTCTAGCCATGCCATTTGTGTGGCTCAACCAGTAATGTTTCAATTCAGTGGGGACGACACCCCAACCCCTGCAAAAATGTTGATGATAATGCAGTTCTATGGGGCAAAGTAGTAGTAATGTTGCTGGATGTCAGAGAAAAGTGGTTTGGTTGTTTTTGCCTAGCACATGACTAGTTCCAATGTTGTACAGGTCTTACTTGTGGGTATGGACTGCTGAATGCTGCAACTATTACATCATAACCACATGTATGACGTTTTATGATATGCATTGGTGCATAGAATTAATTGAAGTTAGCTGGACCGAGAGCCCTGTGCTCGGAATCTCCCCTGCAGTGCTTTATTGAGAAATGCAGCAACAATGGTTAGGCCATAGACTGATTTGGTAATGCCACTAATCATTTGCAGCCTATGCAATAAAAAAGCGGAAAATGAGTCAGGAGATAATGACCAAAGTGTATGGTACTCCAACTGGGCACCAGCTAGAATACTATGCCCTGAGGAAGATAGAAAACATTAAAACACTGGGGGTAGTATGCATAAACCACAAGTTGATCTCCAAATGAGAAAACCAAGCCTGGATAAACATGGGCTTTCCAGCCTAGAAAGGATGTTTTGCAATGACTTGTATGGAATAGTTGAAGATTTGAAGATTGTAAAACAAAAACCTAGAATATTACTTGAGCTAAGTCACAAGGTCAAGTTTGAGATAGATATCTTTGGAACAGATATAGAAAGTTCTTAGCAGTAGGATCATGGAGTCGAAGTCTTCAGTTCAGTTAGGAAATTGTTGGCGGGGTGGGTGTGTCATCAAGATCTCAAGGGACAAATCAAATAGGCTAAATGGCCTTCTCTATAATTAGCTGATAGCTTTTGATCTTTATCCCATCTCCACGGAATAAACCTGTTTTGTACTTTGGAAATTGAAGGATATTTGTGTTTGGACAAATGTTGCAACTGTTGCTTTTTTAAAAAAATTCTATAGACTAGCCCTTAAAACATTCAGATATTTCTGCTGTAATGCATGTTTCGTTGACATAGGCTGTAATGTGATTGATTAGTGGATGCTGTTTGGATAATGTGAAATTTCTACTGTACAGTATAGCAATTTCCCTGTGGCACGAGGTCACGAGAACGTGACTGTCTTGTAATAGGAGAACCACCTGTACGGTGTTTATTAATGAAGTTGTTGCTCATCAAGACCAGTTTGTTTCTTAAGTATAGTTTGTGTAAAAGCCCATCCTTTTAGGGTTATTGTATGCATACTTAGTATGTTTTATACTTCTGAGATTAAATTGGGTTTCGTTCAGAAAGCAACATAGTGCAGGTTATGTTGATTACATCGAACACAGTATTCCTCATCATACCTAATGTTTGAAGGCATGTTATTTCTCATGTAGTAACTCACCATGTTCCCTTCACCAGCAGATTCCAAACCTGCAACCTCTGCCACCTAGACAGTGAGGACAGTAGATGCATGGGAGCCACGCCACCTATAAATTCCCCTCAAAGTCACATGCAATCCTGATTTGAATTGATATCATTGTTCCTTCACTGTCACTGGGTCAAAAGCATGGAACTTCATTCCAGCAGTGTTGAGTGTCTACACCAATGACTGCAT